GAGGGAGACTCCATCTCAAAAAAAAAATTATTAAAATTAATTTCACCTGTTTCTTTTTACATTTTAAAATTTGTCTATATAAAAATTTTTAATCATGCATGTGGCTCACATTTGTGGCTTGCTTCTATTTCCATGGAACAGTGCTTCGCTAAAGTAATCCTTTCCATGTCAAATCCATAGAGGGGGCCCTCTCTGATTGCTCACCACTCCCCCACTCCACTGGGCGAGGCCAACCATCATCCCTTCGGCTGAACCTGGAACTGCCCCCTAATACCCCAGTGTCCTCAGCATCCTGCTCCTACTCCTGTCCTCTTGCTGGACTGTGAGCTCCAGGACATGAGGACTGGATTTGTCTTGTTCACTTTCATATCCCAGCTACGCAGGAGCTTTCATATATTTGTTTGAATGAATGAATGAGCTTAACATGAGTATTTCTCTTCCAGACTCATGGCCTCAAACAAATTTCAGAAAGTTTGTGATTTGCTATGATCAAGATAATGAGAGGACACTAAATAAACTATAGAAAGGCTAATGTGGCTTTTACTTGGTTCTCATATCTTTTTCATATACATAGGAAAGGTGGTTTTCTTAGAAGACACATGCTGTTTTAATTAGAAAAGAAGTATATTGGAATCATGGACTGAGATGCTTAATTAAAGCAAAGTACACAGTATAACACAGTATAGGAGAGGAGAAAGGAAGTTTGAGGGAGAGGATTGCTAAAAGCCCCCTTTTGTAAAGGGGTCTAATCCTGGGGCTGTTTGTGATCAAGCAACATTTTTTACTTTTATTGCATTTGTGGTTTTAATAATACCCAGGTGTCTTTGTTTCATTTCATAGATTAGGCTGTACTTTTTGGCTTGAACATTGAAATTATTTGTCCTCTTAAAAATAGCTATGGGCCAGGTGTGGTGGCTCACGCCTGTAGTCCCAGCATTTTGGGAAATTAAGGCGGGCAGACTGCTTGAACCCAGGAGTTCATGACCAGCCTGGGCAACATGGTGAAACCTGTCTCTGTGACAAACAAAGATTAGCTGGGCATGGTGAGGCAGGCCTGTAGTCCTAGCCACTCAGGAGGCTGAGGTGGGAGGATCATTTGAGCACAGAAGGTGAAGGCTGCAGTGAGTTGAGATTGTGATACTGCACTTCACCCTGAGAGACCTATCTCAAACAAGCAACAACAAAAAACGCTATGATTTTAAAAAGTAGGACAAGATATTTTTGAGAAAATGGTACTTGGAGGAGAAAATATGGCACGGGAAAAGGAGTGACAAACCATAACAAAGCAAAGGTCTCCACCAACACCCTCACACACTGACACCTGCTCCATTCATACACACACACATACGTACTTACACATTCACACACTCCTCACATGCACCCATACTCCCACACCTTCCACACACTCACACACATCCTTACACTCACATCCATTCACACCCACACTCACCCACTCCCACTCTGCCCCCCCGGGGCTGCACCCAGTCAGCACAGACTTGTTCTCCTCTAATGTCAACATTCTACAAAAGTGAAAGGTCGTCTCACATTTCCCCATATGTAAAAGAAACGTGCTCTCACTTTGTTCACAAGCAAATGGGGTTTTACTTGGGGCTTCCTTTGATGCCAAGACATGAAATTCTCTTCCTTACAGTGGTGGGTGTTTCTTGCATTTGGTTTCCCAGAGTTGCTCAAAGCAAAAAAAAAAAAACTACTAAACCCACCACACATGTCCTTGCTCCCTTTCCTCAGTGAGGTATGACTTGGGCCCTATCACAAAGCGATCTGGCTGCAAAGTTTTCCTGCTAGCCTGACACTTAGATGAGTCCCTTTACCAGGGCACTCTCCTGAATTCCCAAGCTGGTGTGAGGAATCCCTGTTAGAAGCTGGGATAAGAGTGGACTCAAATCACCTGAAATCCCCTCACTGGAAATCACCTCTTGACACTTGAGTTTCTGTGTTTTAAAATGTGGAGTGAGACTACATGCCAGTTAAATCCTTTGGCTCTAGAGGTCTATAACTCTGTGCTTCTGTGGTCCAAAGCACAACTGCTCAGTAATTCTGGTCAGTGTTTCCATCCCCCCATCTCCAATTGAGTGGCCTGTTCGGGGCCACTGAAGAAGCCCAGGTTTGACAGAAAAGGACTGCATCCTGTGACAGTTTAGGACTGGATTCAACTTTCGTTGGGGAGCCACTGAGACTAGAGAGTCACTGAAGGTTTTGAGGTTGGCTTGTGATGACCACCCTCTGACGTCAAGTTGTAGAAGCTTCTAGTGCTTACCTTTTTGTTTTTCCCTTCCCTTCCCCTTCCTCTCCCTTCCTTTCTTTCCTTCTTGATAGAGTCTTGCTCTGTTGCCCAGGCTGGAGTGCAGTGGTGCCATCTCAGCTCACTGCAACCTTTGCCTCCCAAGTTCAAGGGATTCTCCTACCTTTGCCTCTCAAGTTTCTGAGATTAGCTGAGCATCACCATGCCCAGCTAATTTTTTTGGTATTTTGGTAGCAACAGGTTTTACCATGTTGGCCAGGATGGTCTTGAACTCCTGGCCTTAAGTGATCTGCCCACCTTGACCTCACAAAGTACTGGGATTACAGGTGTGAGCCACTGTGCCTGGTCTTTTTGGTTTCTTATCATAAGCCAGTTCCAACCCTAAGCATTCTTCTTGGGCCCACGATCCTGGCTACATAGAAGGAAATATTTTCTAAACAATAAGAGATGTTCAACCATGGCATGGGCAGACTACAAAGTGAGATTCTCCCTGTCCCAGAATGTCCCCACTGAGACATCTGTCTGTCCTGGCAGGAGCCATGTTTATAATAAAGGAAGGCTGAACTAGAAGAGCCGTGAAGTCCCTCCAAATTCCAAGACCTCATTTTAGAACTTAAGCTTTCTGAAGCTAGAAATAAAATCAGGGCAGCAGAGAAGAAATCGCATACTCACATTTATCAAGCATCACTCATGGCTAACAAATACTTATTTTGACTTCACTCTGATGCTGGTTTCAGAGAACCAAGATGATGTCCGCCATAAACTCACTTTGTTACAGTGAGAAGCACGCAGGCATGGAGCTTTCACCGTTAGGATAAGCATGCATCATGCAGCGCTGCTGATTTTTACACTGGTGGCCCTTGTGATTTGTACGTTTGTGTCCTCTCATTTGCTGATCCCCACAATGGTCTCGTCAGCTTTGCAGATGTCACTATCATTACCCTCATTCTACTGAGAGAAACCCTTGAGTTGAGGGGCGTGGAATAGATTAGCACGTAACATATCTTTCCAGATCACTGTTGAGGACGCTTTTGGAGGAGACATCTTCACATGAGAGGAGGAATTTTGATTTTAACTAGTCACTTGCTAATGAAAAGGAAATAATTGAGCTGGGTTTTTCTATAATAGTCACAAATTATGGCTGTTCTAAATGTCCTATTTTGAGAATTGTCTTGCTATTAAAAGTAGATTTATTTTAAAATAAATTTTGAGCTGCAGTGTTAGTTTCAAAGTAGAGAGCTTGATCATGATTCACCAAGCTATTTATAGTAGTCCCCTCTTATACCAGACATTTTATGTGTGTGTGAGAGAGATGGAGAAGAAAGAAGAAAAAATAACTCATTTTTTTAAAACTGAAGAAGAGTACAGTGATCAAAATCCATCATGCGAACCCCATCAGAGGACTTTACAATTGCTGTTCTTACGCTTCTGGTTTTGTGCTCATTCAGATTCTTAATTCCAAAACTTACTTTCTATCCTTAACTGAAGAGGTATAATGAAGAGATGTGAGTTCTGAGAAATAAAGAGGAGGGCAGTCCACCTGGAAACCTCTTATGAGCATTGCCAACCAGTAGCTCAATTCAAATCGCACAGCATTTTCTTTCAGCAAAGATGAGTCACGATGCAGCAGTTCTGGATAAGGTTTCAGTCTCAGGTTTGTGCTTAGTAGGTGGGTGACTTTGGGCAAGAACTTCCTTTCTCTGATACTCGTTTTTTTTCATTCATTCATTCGTTTTCTCATTCACGGGTAAGTGGGCATACCAGTACTTACGTCAGGGGGGTTTTGTGAAGATTAAATAAAATGGCAATGCCAGCTTTCAGCGCTTTGTCAAACTTTCACATTCTATAATGTCAGGCTTCACTGTTTTCTGGAAGATTGTTTAATTTACTACTGTTCTACTACCATTCCTGAGAAAGGGCTGCTTTCTACTCCTATTTATATTATTTTCTCTTTTTATTTTTTGAAACAGAGTCTCACTCTGTCACCCAGGCTCGAGGGCACCATCTTGGCTCAATGCAACCCCTGCCTTCTGGGTTCAAGTGATTCTCCTGCCTCAGCCTCCCCAGTAGGTGGGATTACAGGGTACCCACCACCACGCCAGACTGATTTTTGTATTTTTAGTAGAGACGGGGTTTCACCATGTTGGCCAGGCTGGTCTCTAACTCCTGACCTCAAATGATTCACCTACCTCAGCCTCCCGAAGTATTGGGATTACAGGCATCAGTCTGGCCTGTTTATATTATTTTCTACCACTATTAGTATTCCCACAGTGGGGTAGCTTCCTTTCCTCTTTCTCCCTTTTCAATGACTTAAAATTATTATTAAATATCCCCATCCACAGCTTTCTCATCTTTTGTTTCCCAAAGAGTGAATAGGATGACATGGTCACTGCTGGGTATATTTATGTAGGAGAGATGGGAGTGGGCAGAGAGGGGACAACAGTCAGAAGAGATGATGTAGCTGGGGTCAGAAGGTGGAAATGCTGAGGACGGAAAGAGACCTTGATCTTATAGCAAGTGGGATTGAAACGATGTGACTGTGTGGAGGAAGGAACTCAGCTCTCACCCCTATCCACCAAAGGCACATGACACTGTGTGGTGTGTCATGAATATGTCTGAGAAAATGAGCTCTAGCAGTCACTGAAGCCTCCAATGAAAGCCACTATGCAAATAGGTATTTTTTGGCCTTGAAACTAGTATTATTCCCTTGAGTTTTAAGTTGACACTGAAAACGTACCTTCCAGAAAAGAGAAATCTGTTGTCTACTGTAGTCAATGTGCCGTTTCATGTACCAGACATCTAACATCCCAGTAGGCTCTGTTTCGAAGGAGAAAAAAAAGACATTTTTACATATTTACTCAGTAGAAAAGCTTTAAATGTTTTTAAATGATTCTGGAAGAGTAGAATTAGAGGACAATTTCAATTTTTGTGTGTGTGTTCCAGAATTTTTTCTTTTTCTTGTTTAACAATGCACATAGATATCTTTGGCCAAAAAGTCAAAAAAACAAGGTTACCTTAAAAACAAATTTCTAAAAAAATGATGAGAAATTTGTTTCTTAATTTACTTTTTTTGGTGACAGGATCTCACTCTCTTGCTCAGGCTGGAGTGCAGTGGCACAATCTCGGCTCACTGCAACCTCTGCCTCCCAGGCTCAAGCAATCCTCCTGCCTCAGCCTCCTGCATAGCCGGGACTACAGGTGTGTGCCACCATGCCCGGCTAATTTCTGTATTTTTTGTACAGACAGGGTTTCATCGTGTTGCCCAGGCTGGTCTCGAACTCTTGAGCTCAAGTGATCCACCCACCTTTGCCTCCCAAGGCTTGAGCAACTTCACCTGAACTTACCTTACTCTTAAAACATGCATTATTAAAATAACCCAAGGAAAGTATATATGGCTTTAGCACCATAAGACAGAGCAATAAATAATTAATTAATTTAAAGAGTATATGTGGTTCTTTTTTTTTTTTTTTTTTTTTTTTTACTAAAATGCAGAAAGAATTCTCAACAGAGAAAGATACAACTCATATAGAAAAACACTTTTTGGACTTCAAAAAATACACTAATACAAATGACAAACCTTGTGTTCATCTCCATTCCTAGACTTATCATGTTTTAGTTATAATTATTTCATTTGTGATCATTAGACGATGATCTACTTAAAGGGAAGGCCTATCTCATTTAATATGCCACATACCCAGTGCGGTGCTTAGAATATAATAGGCTCCTAATAATTGTTTAATAACGAATGCAAATCAGGTGATATTATCTAGTTAATGCAAAAACCCAGGTTCAATTCATTAAATAAATAGCCACCAATCTATAAGACAATGGTCAAATATGGCCCAACTTAATTTCAACCAAACATACTTGCAAAGAGACTAAATAATCAGCTCCTGTGTGTATCTGTGAGCGTGAGTGTGTGTGTACATAAGTTCATGCTCACGTGAGTGGGTAAAGTAATTTTGTTTTCTCTACTATCAAGTCACTTAGGTTTGTTTTGATTTACAGCCAGGAGTGGAACCAATAGAAACAACTCCTTAAACAGGCTTCAGCTGTGCCAAGCTAATTTCCTCAATAGTGAAACTTAGAGTTTATTTGAGGTGAGGCTGCACTGGGTTATTTTTTGGATTAGAAAGTTCTATCTAGGCCAGGCGAGGTGGTTCACGCCTGTAATCCCAGCACTTTGGGAGGCCGAGGTGGGCGAATCAAGAGATCAAGAGATGGAGGCCCATCCTGGCCTAATGGTGAAACCCCGTCTCTACTGAAAATGCAAAAATTAGCTGGGCGTGGTGGCACATGCCTGTAGTCCCAGCTACTCGGGAGGCTGAGGCAGGAAAATCACTTGAACCCGGGAGGTGGAGGTTGCAGTAAGCGAGATCACGCCACTGCACTCCAGCCTGGTGAGACAAGACTCTGTCTCAAAAAAAAAGAAAGTTCCATCTAACCAGATAGAAATTCCTAAAAAGTTAAGTCCCACCACCTGGATAACAGGAGCTAAGAGAAGAGCAAAAGAGAAAGAAAGGGAGCATAAGTACCCGCACACAGTGGGCAGGTGCTGTGTGGGCCCATCCACAGCTCCGACTCCTGTCCTCCTCAAACCCAGGATGCCACTTCAGTGCAGTAGTCAGTGTGAGCTTCAGAGCCAGGTCTGCGGGGTAAACCCAGCTCTATGACTTTGAACAAATGCTAACCACGTCCTCCAGCTAGTTCCTCATCTGTCAGAGGAGGGTGAGAATTCCACAACATCACACGGGCGGAGTGGGAATTTCAGGAGAGCCTGCCGACACCTGGTGAGTGCTCAGCACGTGCAGCTTTTGTTGTTTCCCGCATTTGAAAACTGAAGTGCTGAAAGGTTAAGGAACTTGCTAAGGTCCCCGAACTCATCATCAGAGATGCCAGGCTTTGAACACAAATCAGTTTTATCCCAGAGCCCATAGCCTTGGCTCTGTACCTTTCAGGCGCCTGGCTCTGAGAAGGCTGATGGTTTATCTGCAGTACTTCCAATCCCCATCAGGTGGGCCTTCTTTTTGTCCTGTCCTCTTCCTTCATCACTTCCTTTTCCTGCCTCTCTTGCTCTCCTCTCTTTTTTGTTTTTTCTAAACATTCACTTCTTTTATTTCCTGTCTTTTTCCAATAGTGGTAGTATTTACCTTTGCAGTGAGGACTTAGAGGTAATAAATGCTTATGTAAAACATTTTGAAAATGCTCTAAATTCTCCAGGAGTGTTAAGAGTGGCCCAGGAGTCAAGCCGGGGACTTCTATCTGCTAGCTTAGATGCAAAAAGAAAAAAAGCACAGGCAACAAAGGAAAGGGGTTGTGACATTCACTAACCACCTACTATCAGGTGATGTCTGGACACTTTATATCCATCATCTCATTTAACCCTCATACAACATGAGGGTGCATATGATTACATCTGCTTTATAGGGGAGAACAAGGAGGCTGGCAATGGTTAAATGATTTACAAAAGACTTGGGTCTGCTAAATGGCAAAGCCGAGGACTGAGCCAGGTCTTGCTCTCTCCAAAGACTCTGCTTTTCCTATTACAGTTCACTACATTGACCAAAGCCCTGAATACTCCATAAACTAGATAATCCAGACATTTGCACAATCAGGGTTTGGAAACCTGGGTGTGCTCAGTGTCAAAGCCAGTTGACTTGTACCACAGCAGTACATGTTTTCAGTTAATTACTTATTGGTAAGAAATCTAAAGGGAACACTCATTGACTCATTAAACATCCACAACCTAACAGATTATTACAGAGTTAAGAATCAAATTCTAGAATTATACTCTTTTCACAAGGTAAATTGCAAGTAAACTGAAATGTTAATGGTGCCCACCTGCAGTGTATACCTCTATGGGAGAGAAACCATTAGTTGAATCTGCAAAGTGTAACATTTCATGACCAGAGGTGTCAAATCACTGCTGCTTAAAGCAACATAAGGGCTAATAGTGAGGAGAATCTTTGACATTCAACTGTCACAGAGTCACTGAAAGTTCTAACCTCAATGTTATCTGGCAAAATACAGATAAAACTATTTTAGGCATGTGAGAAAAAAAAAAAAGCCAAAGGCCAATATGTTCAAGTGATTAAAAAAAAAATGAGTACAAATGACTAAACATACAAATATGAGAAATGGAAGTCAGATGAAACTACTTTGTCTGTAAAGGAAAAAACTGCAGGGTTGAAGTGGAAGAAGCCACCAATATGAAAAAGAGATGACCTTGCCTCAGACTTCACTGAGCAAAAGGAAGAAATCAGATGGAAATTCCTTCCTCTTTCCACCATAAAAACGTTCAAACACCCCAACCAATTCCCTAACATAGCACTGCTACTGATGTCCCAGTGGATGAACCATCTTCCATCATGGTCCAACTCTTCAGAGTTCTGGGGCACACTCCCTCTCGCTTTATCAAAGATCCATCTCAAGTTATCATCCCCACCTTCCCTGTGCTATTAACTGCTCCTTCTCTGCTGGACCCTTTTCATCCCTTTGCAAAGACACTGTATTATCTCACATCCCAAAAACAAAAACAACAAAAGATTGTTTGATATCTCTGCTCTTCTTCATATAACTCGTTGAAAAGAGTTCTCCATCATTCCTTCCTTCCAAGATAGGTGTTGAGCTTAGAGGAGAACAAGTGAAGGAGAGAAGGAGGTAGAGACTGTAACTGAATCTCAAACATAACATTTTCCTGTTAGTGAAAGTGTTTGATATAAGTCTCTTTAGAAGAGAAAAGAATCATTCGTTTTCAAGCCTTAGGCAAAATGACACAAATATGATGCTTTCACGTATAGCTAGCTTAGGGCTCAGCCAACTACATCCTATAAGCGAATGGTCTTGATAATGGTTGAAAAGAAATCAAAAGAAGAATCCTTTTTAGTGACATGTGAATATTACATAAAATTCCAATTTCAGCATCCATAAATAAAGTTTCGTTAGAACACAGCTATGCCTATTTGTTTAGGTATTGTCAATGGCTGCTTGCATGTGACAATAGCACATTTTAGTAGTTGTAGCAGATCATATGATCTGCAAAGCTGAAAATATTTACTGTCTGGACCTGTAGAGAAAATGTTTGCCGATCCCCCAAGCTAGACCGTTATGAGATGTTTGCGGTCATTTAAAAAGGCTGCCAAAAAAGAGTTCTATTATAGAATCAGTCACAGTTTTAGAGAGTACCTAAAAAAAAAATCTCACTAGTAATTTTTTTAAATGCCAAAATAACCTCTAATATTTAATTGTTCCCACCTGTCTTATCTTGGCAATAAATATTTTTAAATTACAAATGAGTGCATGAATTTCCTAACTTCTCAATGTGGGCAGAGGTGGCTGCAGCTGGGAACTGTTCATTTTTTCCCCGCTTCAGGGATCCTTCACCCCTCATCTCTGCCCTCACCATGATGGGGGAGGGTTTCTCCCTTACTACTCTGCCCCAAGTATGAATGAACATGCAACACTTCCTTTATTAGCTGTATTAGCATTGAGCAAGATCAAAAACTGCAAATACGACTTTTAAAATGCTGAATGAACAGAGACACATATTGGTAAGATAGTGCTAAGGAACAGCTGATTCACCGGTATTTTTTATCTCTTCTTGGTGTTTTAAGTGGTGAGAGATCACCTTCCCTCAATACCTGTGCATATTCTTTTTTTTTTTTTTTTTTTTTGAGATGGAGTTTCGCTCTTGTTACCCAGGCTGGAGTGCAATGGCGCGATCTCGGCTCACCGCAACCTCCGCCTCCTGGGTTCAGGCAATTCTCCTGCCTCAGCCTCCTGAGTAGCTGGGATTACAGGCACGTGCCACCATGCCCAGCTAATTTTTTGTAGTTTTAGTAGAGACGGGGTTTCACCATGTTGACCAGGATGGTCTCGATCTCTTGACCTCGTGATCCACCCGCCTCGGCCTCCCAAAGTGCTGGGATTACAGGCTTGAGCCACCGCGCCCAGCAATACCTGTGCATATTCTGAAGCATGTCTGGGCACCCTGAGCCCAAATTCAAGGATGTTTTCCCACTAGAAGAAAAATGTGGCTGCTCTCTTCCTAGTGTCACTATCAGGCCTGACTTTGATGGATTTGATTTCAAGACTGTCCTCTTAAACACAGCAAAGTAGCTTCTTTCCTCTTACCCCTTATTTTGCAGTCATTAAAAAGTGTTTTTCAGTGATAGGAGCTGAATTTAATGACATAGGAAAGGGCCCTATGGAGTAAAGGAAGCCCTCGCCCACTGTTCAAATGATATAAACAACTGCACCCGATCCATCTGGAGATGTTACGTTCCTCTCAAGTTTGAGAAGCAAAAGCTGTAAAAAAAGAGCTCTATTATAGAATCATTCAGTTTTAAAGAGTGCCTAAAAAAAAAAGCTCACTAGTAATCTTTTTAAATGCCAAGCTACATATGAGTACACATTGAAAGAGTTAAAGGAAGACATGCTAAAAAAAATTCACACCTTTTAGGTTTACATCAGTTGGTGTTTCATAAAGAAACTGATGACAGAAATAGCGGGTAAGGGGTGAAAACCAAGCAGCTTAGAGTGAGCGAAAAAAAGACCTATGACAGCCCACAGAAAAATCAAATATAGAAAAGGGAGATTCAGACATAGAAAGGAAGCCAACAGAGCTTGGTAAAGGTAGTGTGTCTCAGAGTATGGGTTTCTCTCTTTATGAATACCTGCAATGACTGAATAAGCCAGCTTCCTAGGTTCAATTCATAATTATCCATGAGTTCATAACCATAATGAGTTGCATCATTGTTGTGATGGTTTATTTTATAGGAAATGAGAAAGTTACTGTGCTGCCTTGAAGGATTTTTAATTCAACAGAAAAACACTTTAAGAAAAAGAAAAGAAAAACATTTTCACACATCTCTAACTAGGTCATTAACATATGTGAGTAAGAACGACAAGAATTCACAAGCCCAGAGTTTCCCTAGTTTATAGTTTAGCTTAATGTGATATAACTTAAATATTTCCCAGCCTACTTACTATGTTGAACTTGGGTATAAAATATAGCCCATTTTCAGAAATTTTATCTGTACCACATATATAAACAAAATATAATTCATGAGATAGTCTTTAAAAAAATTACTTTGACTGTGTATAATAAAAGGATATAATGAGTAAGCTCTAGATTATAAAAGTGACAACCAGAGATCAAGTCGTTCGACATTAAGAGATTTTATTATAAAACGAGTGGTAATAAATTATCATTTGTTGAATAAATTCACTTTTAGACAATTTTTTAATATAAAGAAATGCAATTCTGTAATTCCAGCACTTTGTGAGACCGAGGCATGTGGATCACCTGAGGTCAGGAGTTTGAGACCAGCCTGGGCAATGTGGCGAAACCCATCTCTACTGAAAATAACAAAAATTAGCCAGGTGTGGTGGTGCACGCCTATAATCCCAGGTACTTGGGAGGCTGAGGCAGAAAAATTGTGCCACTGCACTCCAGCCTGGGCAACAGAGCAAGACTCTGTCTCAAAAAAAAAAAAAAGGCAATTAATACAAGAAGTAAGGAAGAATATAAGATTATTCTACAAATTATGTATTAGGTATTATATTCTGCTAAAAGGCCCTTTAGTTCCTTGAATGTCATTGATGTATCAATGCTAAGTATCATCAGTTATCAAAAACCATTAGTAGCTCACAGAAAATAAATGCAACTTAATTTTGAGGCTAGGTAACATGCACTCATATCCATAAGTTTCACAAATAAGAATTTAGATTTCGCACATTAATATTACAAAATCTCCAGATAATGAACAATGGATTATATGCCAAAAATTTTTCCTCTGAGACAAATTTATATAAATTATGAAAGGCTCTCTACTGTATTACTAAATGAGTGCTTTTAAAAACTAATATTCAGATGGCTATTTCTTGTGTCTACAAAGATTTAATATTGGCATAAAGTTTATATAGGCATTTTTGCTTCAATAAAATATTTTCTTATACTTCAGTAACATCCCTTTCCCAATAATTACCAAAAAAGAAAAATTCATCAGACTGAAAAATACATTTGATATCGTTTTCATAGCTATGGATGGCCAGGTGGTTCTCATCTGAGCAGTGAATATCAAAGGCTTGAGGTCTAATGTCATAATATTTGGAGAAGAGAGGATTCCTGGATGCTAAATTTTATTTTGAAAGATATGTCTCCAGAGCCTACTTCCTTCTCATCGGGCTTACTGAGCCACATTACTTTTCAAAGAATCAAAAATAAAAAATATATGAAGCTTTAACTACAAAGAAATGAGATTAATTACTGGTTATAGCTCTGTGAAATAAGTTACTGAGATAGTAAGAGAGGTAAGAGTTATAACCAAGCACTGTAACCCACATCACTGATAGCAAACAGGAGTAGAACTTACCCAGTGTTAAAAATTTCCTAGCAATACTTAAGTTAATACAAAAATTAACTTGTTAATTAATGCAATCATGCCTTTTGATTGAGCACTAGTACTTTAAAGATTCTATTCCAAGGAAATAATTGCATCTTCCCGCTCTCTCCCTCAGTTCCTCCCGATATGTATGTACGTTTCGGACACATACCTTCTTCTGGTGTTTGTGCTCTCAATGATTCACTCCAATCACTCCAGCTTCCCTTACAAAGATGTAGTTTAGAGGAAATCTGAAATTCATATTCTGTAAATGGTTTCAGATCCAGCAAATCATGTCTTCCTTTGGCCTTTGTAACATTAACCTTGAAAAAGACATTTTTTTAAAGTGCCTATCAGTACTAGATTGCTAATTTAAATAATTTTAACATAAAATGAAAAAAAAAAAAAAAAAAAAAAATAAAAAAATAAATAATTTTAAAAAAATGAAAAAAAAAAAAAAAAAAAAACCCCAGGCCATTTGATTCTGTTTGTTTTTCGGACCTACCATTCAATGAGAAGAAATTTCAATGACTGTCTTGCTAAATAGATATAATATTAATCTGAAATAATAGCTTCTCATTAAAAATAAAATCTCCTGGGAAAGAACCCATCTATGTAGGTTCTCAGCGGGGATCCTGAAATCAGTTGAAAAACAAGTAAAAATTGAAAACTACCAAGTTTCAAAACACCTTGGAGCAGTTTCTACACTAGAGATTATTTTTTTATTTGATTACAATTAGAATGTGATGAATGTTTTAACACAAACATAGAACTGGCTTTTAATAAAACCCTTTAATTGATTATACTCTCTTGAATATAAACTATATGTAGACCTGATCCTTTGTTATTATAAGCCATTGAATTTTATTAAAATCCTGGAATCATAATCCTATACCTTTTATTTAAAAACATGTAATGTTTAATATTATATTAACATGTAGGCCTTTCCTTTGGAATATTAAATTCTATATAAATCTCTGTGGACATTCCTTAGTATTTCTCTTTTCAATATCTTTTGAAAATGCTAACAAGTAATAACAGGACAGGAGGTAAATAATAAGGAGAAATGAATCCTCTACTAGAAATAAACTATAGAAAATTAATATTGGTTTACAAATGCTTTAAAAATTTCAGAATCAGAGATCAAAATTCAAGATTTTTTTTTTCTTTTGAGACTGTTGCCCAGTCTGGAGTGCTGTGGCATGATCTCGACTCACTGCAACCTCTGCCTCCCAGGTTCAAGCGAGTCTCCTGCCTCAGCCTCCTGAGTAGCTGGCGCTACAGATGTGCACCACCATGCCCAGCTAATTTTTTTTTTTTTTAGCAGAGATGGGGTTTCACCATGTTGCCCAGGATAGTCTCACTCTTTTGACCTCACGATCCGTCCACCTCGGTCTCCCAAAGTGCTGGGATTACAGGCACCCAGCCCAAGATATTTCTTAATCAATAGTGGATGTACATAACTTTCTGATAGTTCTCAAGTGTGTACTTTTGGGATAAATATTCTTAAACTCCATATTTTGCTGTATGAAAACACAGAGGCCTGCGCAGCAATATTAAGAACCCCTCAATGTTCTTAACTTCACTCTAAAGATCATTACCATATTCCAGAGCCTGCTGTTATTGGGTCGATATCTGAGTCGATTGAGCAGTACCAATCCCTCATCTCTCCAATGAAGGGTACATCTGCTCACAGAAGCCTTTTTAAAGTTGATTCTAATGTCCCACGGAGGAAGAGGCCTCACTAGTAACCAGGACAAACAAAAAAATGTAGTTCAGGATCTGTGATCAGCAGCTATCTGGCATGAGCTATAAAGAGTTTGGTAAAACTCAGTTCTGAGATGTACGACCATCAGTTTGGCAAAATATACAAGGGAGTTTGTATATTTTGTATATTTCACCAAATATACAAAACTGAAAAAAATTTTTAGAAAGTTGAATTCACTTCTGGATCTTTAAAGTAATCGCCCCGATCAAATATCATTTTTACCAAATAACTACTACCAACATTAGTGGTAAATTTCAACTCCACTTAATCCAGTGGTTTTTAAAAAACCAATGTGCCAAACCCAAGAGTTCCAATGACTGAGAAGCCAGAGGTGGCTAGTGATGATTGCCTCAGGAGGAGAAGAAAAGTTGGTAGGAAAATACACAGCAAAGGGACAGAGGAAAAGAGGAAAAGAATAGTGGGGCAAGGAGGTAGCCTAGAGATAAACAGTCTATGAAAAAAATGAGAGGAAGCCTGAGAGGAAATGTGGTGGAAAAGTGTACGGTAAATACCAATGATCAGACCCATAGTATGTATGCAAATAAGTATGCAAAGATGCAAAGAAGTGTTGTAGGAAAAGAGGAGAGAAGCACACAGTGTGAAGTCGGAACTTCAGGCAGCCCAATTCTGCCTGGATGATCAGAACTTGGAATGCTTGAGATTGGGCTCTGATTCAACTGGACCAATTACATTTGCTCAGAAATGTACTGGGACTGGCTTGCCCCAGGGATGGAGGTAAGTATTCTCAGAGCAAGATGCATTTGTGACTGGACACAATTTATAGTTTGCACCTTGATGCTCCAGCCTAGTAGGCCCACAGGTAGCCTATCTCACAACAATGGGAGTAGCCATAGGGGTGAAAGGACACATCCTCCAAGAAGGGCTTGCACTGAGCATCTTGAATGACCTCACAGGACCTTCCCTAGTCAGATCATTACTAGCTGGTTCTTTCATGGGATTTGAATCCAGGGGCTAATTTCTCCTATAGAGAGAATAATGTTGAACATCCCACTTTGTATAGCCATCTTTATATAGCTCTAGAATCATGCACCCTTTAACTTGCATCAAAATAACTATTATATTTTGCCTATACCTGTTGGCCAATTTCCATCAATATCTGTCTTTCTTGAAACATATAAAAAAGACTTGAGTGATTTTAATAATAATTATGAAGTACCAATGAATGACACTTACAAAAAGTGAAATAAAATGTACCTATGTCTAAGAATGTGAATGTGGATGGAAATGAAGAGGAGCTTCCAAGACTATTGACAGCAGTGACCTTGGCTGTGAAATTGGATTCAGGCGATTCAGGGGTAAGGTTGATTCCGAAGTCCAGATAGTCACAATAATGATCTTTACATTGCTTCTGCCAGGTTAAATTTTTTGGTCCACTTAACCTGTAAACAACACACAAAGATGCGTAGCAAGATGTTTCATGTGCTACTTTCTACTTTTAGTACAAAAGAACAAAATGTTTAAATATTTAGAATTCTAGACAATTTTTAAAGGTCAATCTATGACTAAGGGATACACCCCAGAAATATTTGTATTATATGGTCATAAATAAGACTACACTTCACCCAACTCCCTTTCTTGGTAGAACTGAGATGTTTTTTCATGTTTGTGTAGATAGATAGGTAACCAAGCCTACGCTGCTGAAATTCCCCAAATCCTGCTGTCATCTTGGCTCCCTGGGGCAGTTCCAAACATCATCCTAAGGACCATGGCCACCTTGACATCTATGGCACAGAAGTGTCACGTCCTAGTACAGCAGTGGCCAGAGTAGAATCCTGGGCTATTTTACCCTAATACTGAGACTCGCATGTAGGTAGTTATTTCCTTTAGGTTAAAAAAAAACAGATGTACTACAGAACCCCTCCTTTCCTCCATCTCCTCCTCACCCAAGAATAGCACAAATCAGTTGGATCTTTAATGGGATCATGAAATCCACTTCAAGGAACAGAATCTCCCAGACTCTCTCTTCTGATGGACTCTTAGGTCAGCCAATGTGCTTTAAAAAGAAACTTGTCCAAGGGAATGGAAAACTACCACAAGGAAGAGTTTATTTATGTATCATGACCCCAAGAGTCTGCAATTACAAAATAAAGAAGAGATCTTATGCAGCCAGTTTAACCCTACTAGAGTGTGAAAGAACAGCTATAACTTCGGTCTTGGATGCCCTGAAGATAACTCGGAGTTAGAACTCAGGCCCAAGACATTAGGTCTCTCATACTGTAGATAAATGAACCAGTTTTAACTATAAACACTAGAAACTTTTTTTTTAAATTATTTAATTATCTAGAGATATCTATTGTTTCTTCTTTCTGGTAAAAATAAAACAGATAGGCCAGGCATGGTGGCTCACCCCTATAATCCCAGCATTTTGGGAGGCAGAGGAGGGTGGATCATGAGGTCTAGAGATTGAGACCATCCTGGCCTACATGGTGAAACCCTGTCTCTACTAAAAATACAAAAGTTAGTTGGGTGTGGTGACTCATGCCTGTAGTCCCAGCTACTCAGGAGGCTGAGGCAGGAGAATTGCTTGAATCTGGGAGGCAGAGGTTGCAGTGAGCCGAGAATGTGCCACTGCACTCCAGCCTGGTGACAGAGCAAAACTCCATCTCAAAATAAATAAATAAAACAGATATTTCTAAATGTCATTTAAGAGAAGATCTACAAAACAGCTGCAGAAATACAGCCTCTCACTCACTGTAGAGTATACTCAGTGTATAGGTGGGTGTCTCGTCCTCTAACCCAGGTGCAGGCCACAGTCCCTTGTTCTCCCTTCTGTATGCAGGATAAGTTTTGAGGCTGTTCTGGAGCAACTTTAAAAAGAAAGGACAAAACTTTATATATCACACAGGTGATACTTCAACCAAATTGTTATTATCTGCCAACAACATGACAACACCTCCCCCACATGCCATAAACCCAGGTAAACTAGAAGCTATTTTAGATTCCATACAAATCCCAGTTTGCCATTAAGGCATAAATTTCTTCTAGAAACAGTAACAATAGTAGTAAATATGGATCAAATACTTACTATAACTATACACCAAGCCCAGTGCTATGTGCAGTTTTTCAGAATTAGACAGCACAGAACCCCATGAGGTAGATACCATTATTATCTTTATTTTTTCAGACGGGAAACTAAGAGAGGTGAACTATCTGGCCCAAGATTATAAAATAATGAAGCGGCAGAATCAAGGCTCCAGCTCAGCCGTGGCTAACTCAAGTCCAGGCCTTTTACTTCATATTTTACCATTTTCCCTGACAGGCGAACATCAGTGCTAGCTCCATTACCCCTGGGAATAATAAATTAACATTTTTTTAGAGTGATGCCCATTCAAATATTAGAAACCTTTAAAAATGAGAGACTTGGTTGGGCACAGTGGCTCAAGCCTATAATCCCAGCACTTTGGGAGGCCAAGGCAGGTGGATCACCTGAGGTCAGGAGTTCAAGACCAGCTTGGACAACATGGTAAAACCCTGTCTCTACTCAAAATATAAAACTTAAGGTGGGCACGGTGGTGGGTGCCTGTAATTCCGGCTACTAGGGAGGCTGAGGCAGGAGAATTGCTTGAACCAAGGAGGCAGGAGGTTGCAGTGAGCTGAGATCGCGCCATTGCGCTCCAGCCTGGGTAACAAGAGCGAAACTCCGTCTCAAAAAAAAAAAAAAANAAAAAAAAAAAAAAAAAAAATACAAAAATTAGCTGGGCATGTTGGTGCATGCCTGTAATCCCAGCTACTTGGGAGGCGAGGCAGAAGAATTGCTGGAGCCCAGGAGGCAGAAGTTGCAGTGAGCTGAGATTGCACCACTGCACTCCAGCCTGGGGGTCAGGATAAGACTCCATCTCAAAAAAACAAAAAGAAAAACAAAAGTCTCTTCCTTGTATACATATGTACCTGTGTACATATATACATTTAGACATATTTATATATATATTTATACCGTGTATACTTATGCATATACACAAACTACTCATGACTGAGCCATACAGAATACTATGTTAACTTTACATTTTCTATACAACTTTTAATCTTAGAATTAGTAATTATCTTGCTTTTCCGTTTGTTTAGTTTTCTTGTTAATAAAATTTCAAACTTCCAAGTCAATTATCTGAATCACTGTTCAATATACTGCAATATATTGGGACTTCTATCCATTTCATTTGCTTGAGGACCGCTCTCTTGGATCCTTGTGTACTTTCCAATATAAGACCAGTTGCCTCCATGCCTGGTACCCAGCTGTCATTCTGGGACTGCTCATCCTCAGTGTTTCCTAAGTTCTTTCTCCTTTTCCTTTGGCTCTCTTGTTTCTTAGATTTAATGTTTTCCTCCTTCTTGTTGAATGACTTGTGTTGGTGGGGCATAGCCTCTAGGAGTTCTCTGGGAAAGGGTGCATGGGAGGAAATATTTTGAGCATAGTTTAAAATGTCTTTATTCTACCCTCACGTTTGACTGATACTTTGACTGAGTATAGAATTCTAAGTCGAAAAGAATTTTTAGTCAGGACTCTGTTGCCTTCCACATTCCAGGTTGCTGTTGAGAAGCCTGAAGCCATCACCTAAATGCCTCCCATGTGCCTTGCATGGGATTAAGCACTTTGCATATAAGAGGGGATCTAATGACTACAACCATTTCATGAGGTAGATGTTATTATCTTTATATTACAGATGGAGAAACTGAGGTTCAGGTAATTTAAGTTGTCTAAGGTACACTGCTACTGGCAGAGTTGACATTCAAAGCCCATGGCACTTCTGCTATACCACAGGCTGTCAATGAAGAGTACACGACTCACAGTGGTATGAACAGGAGGCTCTGAGCTGGAAGGTGCGTACTTGGCCTACTTTATGCCTCCTACCAATGATCTGCTTGGCCATTTGCTTGGTCTTCTGCTCCATGCTTTTGGTGGAAAATTGCCTGGCACCAGCTATGCATATATATCCTTATGGGTCACAGAGAGGAGGTTTCCATCTTTCCTGGACAGAGTCTCACTAAGCTCTGTATCACAGCCTTTATGACAGATACCATGTCTATGAGGCTTGTCAGCCAGCCTGCTATAGCAATTCTTCCTAGTCTCTTCATGCCTCTTGTCTGCCACCCCAAAGCTTCTCTGGAACCCCTGAGGCACAGGGTGCCATGAAATCCCTCAGGTCTCATGCTTGCTCACGGGCTTGCCTGGTTGGACGTGCAAGGCTGTGGGCTGCAGGCTGGGAACTGCAGCAGGTGTGCTGCTGGTTCATCCTGTGCACTGTGGCTCATGCTGCAGATGTCGACTCTGACACTTTAGTTCTAATCCCCCAGCAGCTGTTGCAAGGAACCAGCGATGCAAGCCAGCAGTGTGGGAAACTGATCCCCTGTCAGGGTAACTTTGACCAATGGGAGATAGTTAAATTCTTCTTTCTTTCTCCTTCATGAGATTTCTATATGATCTTCCTGGTAATGTCTCTAAGTGCACAAACAACCAGCTGTACTTTATGTTGAAGCTGTGGCCAGCTCAGTCATGTTACCACCTAGTATTTGCTTTTGTCCCTTTCCTGGCTCACTCCGTCCCTCTTGCCTCCTCGCGGCTGTGTAACTCCTCTGACCAACACCCCCTTCCCATGAATTGTTAGCAGGTCAGGTTTTTTGTTTGTTTGTTTGTTTTTGTTGTTTTTTTCTGCAGTCAGTTTTCTAGAGAACTGAGGAAAAGACAATAAGTACGATCAATGTTTTCTTTTAACTTCTATGAAGTGTGAGAACCAGTGGTCTAGGTGAGCATGGATGGAAGAACTATTTTGGGGGGCATTAAGTTAGGGAGGGCGAGAGGTGCTGCTCAACTCTGCATAGTCATCCTGGGCTGTGTAAGTCTAAAAAGACATCTCTTTATTCTTTTTAGGAGGCTGTAGCTTTAAACACATTCTTGTAAGTCAAGAAGACATAAAGATCCAACTGCAGAGAGAGAGAGAGAGAGACTTGCCAAATAAGATTTCAATTTCTGAACTTCACACATTGAAGCTCTCATGTCGGTATCAACATAAAATACTTCAACGTGGTGGGAAAGAAAGAACATGGACCTGTATCTGGGTTTCTGCTTAACACATGAAAAATACTAAAAGATTGCCAAGTTTTAAAAATTCAAAATGGAATGCTTACCACCAACTAAGATCTCTGCTCCGCATATTTTAATTTCATCACTATTGATACAGGCCAGTTTGCAGACAAACAAGGTTGTACCAAGGGGAAGACCTGTGATTTGAGAACTGAGGGAGTGGCCATGGTGAAAATTGATTCTTCTGTCAAACTTGTACAGGATTAACTTGTTATGTCTGGAATCATTCAAGCAGCCTTGTCTGGGCTTCAAAGTGCATGAAATATTGACAGTGGATCCAAGTAAAATTGCACGGGAAGGCTTCACAGTCACATCGCCCCTCCTGCACTCATCTGCAATAAGGTACAAATGCAATATTTAGTTTGTGATAATAAACCCATTTCAAAATGAAGAGTTTATGTAATTCCCCAAAACAGGATAAAATTAGCCCCATCGGATCATGCAAGTATAAATAACTTACATGTCTCTGGTTATAATGGTGATGTGTAATGAGAACAGAAGATAAACATATTGAAGTCTAACTGTATTTGAATGAATATATGCATCCTGCTCATAACAGTATTACTACAATCAGAACTATAATCAGACCTATAGCCAGGAAAGTGGTGAGAAAGCAGGATTGAAAGAACATTCAGGAACACAGTTCTGGGAAAAACCAGCCTCTCTTATATGCAAATTATTTACCAGACTACTAAAGCCTTCCCAGAATAAATCACATTTGTTTCCATCACCATTTATGATTTACAATTTTTACTTAAATACTTGTACCAAGAAAAAAAAAAACAGTTTTAAAAGAGCATTAAAAGAGTATTGCAAACATTGTGCTACTGCACTTCACCTGGATAACAGAGCCAGACCCTGTCTCAGAAAAAAAAAAAAAAGAACTTGTGGAGGGTGGGAGGCAGGAAGAAAAATGTGCTGAAATGTAAAACATGTATTTGTGATGCCTAGCTGGATTTCTAAGCCACTTTCTTAGGAGGACATAAAATAATTGGACCCCTATATTAATCATTAGTGCAAATTAAATAGAAGAACTATTAGTTATAGACAGAACCAGACTTACCCACTTAAATGACAGAGATTGACTACAAAAGACCAACTACCTAAACATTTACTGCAAATAAATACTTCACCTGTAATGGAAAATTTAAACCACAAATTCTTCCACAGAGTAACTTATAGAAATATCTTACCTATTTTCGCTTTAATCAACAGCCACATGATTATAAAAATAAGTGCCAATGAGCAGCCTCTATGTGCCATCAACAATCAACTCTGGTATAAAGCTTTGTATTCTTCCTTGCAAAAGAAGACAAATTCATTCGTGTTAAATACACTTAGAAAATACCAGAGCCAAAATAGTTCAGAAGATCTTCAAGTGTCACTTTATTTTTCTCCACTTTGTTGAAATTTTGTTTGTTATTTTAAAAACTGATATATACCTTTAAAACTAGTAAATCCAATATCTTAGCCACATTTCAACCCCCATCTCAGTGAAACTTCTTGGGGTCAGCAAAGGATTAGAGGAGGAACTGGAAGTCTTAGTCCATTTGAGCTGTTATAACAAAATACTCATAAACTAGGTAGATGATAAACATCAAAAATTTATTTTTCACAGTTCTGGAGGCTGGCAAGTCCAAGATCAAGAGGTCAGCAGATTTGGTGTCTGGTGAGGGCCCACTTCATAAATGGTTCATAGATGGGGCCTTCTTGCTGTGACCTCACATGGTGGAAAGGACAACAGAGCTCTCATGGGCACTAGTCCCATTCGTGAAAATTCTACCTTCATGACCCAATCACCTCCCAAAGACCCTGCCTCCTAATATCATCACCTTGAGAGTTAGGATTTTAACATATGAATTTGGGAGGGGGAATAAACATTCAGACCATGGCAATGGGCTTTGGGGTCCTTTAGAACTGGGTTTAAATGCTTGAGACTATCTGCAAGTCACTTAACCTGTCTGAACCTTAGTCCCACACAACACTTTTTCTTTTACTTTTTCTTCCAAACAAGGCTTCATCATCATATCAGACAGAGTATTTTGACTAATTAGAGTTGCTGATCCAGTCATGTGATTCTGGAAATATATATTGAAAAATGGTTCATAACCCACCTGGAACTTAGTAGTAAAAGATTGATTTCTTTGGCAGTAAAAAAGGAATTCCAAGGGTTGTTTGCATTTTCTAGAGAAGCTCATTTATTTATTTGTTTTTTAATTAGTTATTTATTTTACAGAGTGATTTTATCTTGAATATGTCAGAAAACATAAGCTGGCAATTTCTGATTTGTTTCCAATTCAAACCTAAGAAATGGCTCCACTGGTCAGTAATACATTTTAAAAATTCTATTAAAGATAGGCCAAAAATTCATAAAGTAGGCTGGGAAGTTCTGTGATGTCAGGCCACTAAAAGGTAGCCAATGCAAAGCAAAAGTTTACCTCTTAACCCCATACCTAGACATATGCAGAAGATATTGAAGAGCTTCAGACAATGTCACTTATGCATTCAATATGGATGTCTGCCTTTCACGTGCTAGGCACACTACGTGCTGGAGATACAGCAGTGTTGTCCCTGTGGGGTTCTAGGAAAGTGCCCTTTGATTCCTCTACCTCTAGCCTAGTCATCATTCAGGAAAACCCTAAATAATATTAGCCTAAGTCTTTGCTGGCTACTCTTTCTTTTCCTCTTGATTTTTAACTCTTGGAGGACCTTAGCACTCTCAAGGTATTTTTTTTTTTTTTTTCTATTTCTACTCTCTCCTTAGGGATCTCATCTGGTACCCTGGCTCTAGATGTCATCTGCAAGCTAAAGATTTCAGACACAGATCTCCAACTCACACATCCCCCTGAGCTCCAGTCTCATCCATCTGTCTCCTTGGCGTCACCTCTCAAATGTCTAACAGGCTTCTCAATATCAAGGCGTTCAGTTTGAACTCTTAGCACCCCTTCTCCAAACTGGTTCTTCCTTCAGCCTTTTCTATCTCAATGAATGACATTCTTACCCCTAAGTTGTTAAAAACATCTAGAAGTCATCTTTGATTCCAACCTCTTTCTCATCTTCTACAGCAAAACCATCTCTAGTCCTGCCAACTTTACCCCCAAAACATGTTACAGATCAATGCACTTCTCTCCATTCCAACTCACCCTTGTTCAAACCACTGTCATCTCTCCCCTAGTCTACACTAGGCCCCAACATGTCTTTCCAATCCAGCCTTGCCCTTTCTAAGCCATTTTCACATAGCTCACTCTGTTTTAAAAACATAAATCAGATCATGTTACCTGCTGCACACCACCACTGTTTGAAATCCTTCAATAGGTACCTACTGCTGTTAGTAAAATATCCATAGCCCATATCGCACACAATCTCTCAGCCACTGCATGGCCTCACTTCCTCCCATCTTGCCATCATCACTTTATATGTTTGCCTGGCTCATTCTGCTCCATTCACGCTAGCCTTCAGACTGTTCCTTGAATAATGCAGGCATGCTCTTTGCTGCCTAGGAGACTTTGCATTTTCCATGTCCTCTGCTAGAATCATTTTCCCTTGTTTTTTGTGTGGCTGATGTATTTATATCCTTTAGATTTCAGCTCATGTGTTACTTGCCCAGGAAGCCCCTCCCTGACCGCTATCTCTATCCCTCCCACACCCTCCCTGACCAACGTGGTCTTCCCCAAGTGATTTTTTACTCATCACCTTATTATTGTCTTCATGGTACAATCTGCAACTACCTTATTTCTTTACTTAATTACTTGTCATCTGTCTTTTATACTAGAGTATAAGCCCCATAAAAGCAGGAACATTGACTATCTTGCTCACCGCTGAATACCAGCAATTAACACTGGGAAACATTTAGTATTCAATAAATGTCTATTGAAAGAAAGATGCAAAGGAGGGAAAGGAATATGATCTTTAGAAAATTCCCTATAAACATCCCTGTGGTAGGCAGGAAAATGGCCCAAAAAAGATGTCCATGCTCTAATCCTCAGAATCTGTGAACATATTCAAATGGCAAAAACACTTTGGAGATGTGATTAAAGTTGAGAACCTTGAGATGGGAAGATTATCCCGGATTAACCAAGTGGCCCCAATGCAATCACAGGACTCCTTAAAAGTGTAAAAGAAAGGCAAGAGAGTGGGTCAGAGAGATACGATGTATGAAGGACTCAACTCTGCTGCTGCTGGCTTTGAAGTGGAGGAAGGAGCCAGGAGCCAATGAATGTGACAGCCTCTAACAGCTGGGGATGGATCTCAGTTCACAGGTACATAAAATGTATTTCTTGTGAGTTGTTGTTAAAATGTTTGAGAAGCACAGATTTAACCCAAAAGCTGCAGGTCTCCTCATCTCTAAACCAAAAAAGTCCAAGATCACGGAGTACAACGGCCTCTGTGAGCTAATTCCTGTCTATCACCAGCCACATCTACCACCATTCTCTGCTGACACCACTCTCCAGTGACACTGAGCTGCTTCCACCCCTGCCCGTTCCATGCCGAGTCATGCCTTTGTGTCTTTCCTTCATGCTATTCTCTTTACTTTCCCACTATTCTTACACTGGGTGAGCCTTACTCATCCATCTAAGCTCAATTCAGACACCTTTCATGCAGTTATTCATTCAGTAAATATGTATTAAGCAGCTGCAAGTGCCAAGGCCTTGGGATACAATAAAGAACAAGACAGAAGGGATTTTAGCTCTCATGGAAACAACATCCTCTCATGGAGGCAGAAAACAAAAATATAAGCAACAAACTGGTGAGTTCAGGTAATAATAAAAGAAGGCTATAAAAGAGGAGAGACCCTGGGGAGGATAGAAACTGGTTAACGAAGGCATTTGTAGGAAGCGAAACGTGGGCTAAGATTGGTGCTGGCCAGCTGCATATGTGGGAACACTTTTTCCTGACAGAGGAATGGTGAATGCACAGCCTGGAGGCAGACAAATGAGCTTGCCAAGGGAGAGGTACAGAAATAAGGGCAGGGTAGCTGGAGAAAGTGACTGCAGGGAGATGGTATGAGATGAAATTAGAGAAGAAGGCAGGAGCCAGATTTACTATGGACTTGTTTGCCAAAAATGGGAGCCTAGATTTTACTCTTAAATATATGAGAAACCACTGGTGTTTAATTAGGAATTTTACTGATTTAGTTGAGTTTTAATTGAGGGTGTAACAAGATACACATTACATTAACACACACACGCACACACTTGTCTGGGGACTTGGGTGGATGCAGCCAGGCCAGTTAGGAAACGACTGCGGGACACAGGTGATGATGATGATGTGGACCTCAGGTGCAGTAGTGGCAATAGAAAGAAGTGGTCAGATTTCAGGAAGCCTTACGTATGTCTTCAGGTCACAGTGACCCCTCCTACCAGTATCCTCAGAGCGCCCTGGCATCTTCTTGCCTTAGCACATACCGTAAAGGGAACTAATTTATTTAGATACCTGTCTATCTCCTTCATCACCTTGCAAGCTCCTTATCTACAAGGATGAGAAGATGAGAACAAGAGAATTCTGTACAGACTTTAGCATCCCCACATAATTTAGTCACATATTTATAGCTTACTATTCTTTGTTCAATCCAGTATTTAAGTAACTGACTCTAACTATTTCTTCAGGTCTTCATTTCTTCATGTGCTCCCGTGTCCCATAATATTTGATGAGTAAATTTGTATTATTTTTTTCCTGTTAATCTAATGTCAATTTAATTTTCAGACTCACCTAAGACACTAGAAGAATGGAGGGGAGTTTTTCTACCCCTATGTTAGCTGTTGTATTAAAATTTGGAATAGTCTTACACAAGATAAAATTATGGATTGAACTGGAAGATAACTGAATGAATGGATGCAAGATATCTGCAGCACTCCTCTGTAGAAATTTTCAACATGCATCACAATTTATGAAGCTCTAACATTCTCCAAATAGTAAAAAACTCAGATGGTAATTATTATAAGGATTTAAAAAATGGATACATATGAAATATGTTTTTATATATTATGTCCTATGTATTAAATAGGTTAAAATATATGTGTATATTATATAAACATCTATATTTATATGAAATAGGTAAAATGGAAGATAAATTTGAGTTTATATAGTGGTATACTGATCCAAACACAAACTTGCTCATTTTCTCTGACTACCAGGTAAAAATAGCTTCTCCATTTATGAGAAGTTCAGAATCCCCAACGACCTTCAAGTAAATGAGGTATCTTCCAATAAAATGAAACCTCTTGTCAGCTGTAAACATCCTTCACATGCCCTGTCTAGAGGGTCAATATTGAAACAACAACTCTGTCTTGAATCAGAAAATCAAAGAGTGTGCTATGTCATTGACTCATCACTCAAGTTGTGACAGTTTCCAGATGGTGAAAACAACGTCTCACATGGTGGGTAAGGGAGTGGGTGGGCGGGAACAAACCAGAAATACACCAACCGGCAGAAAGACAGAGGCAACAATTGCTCCCCGACCAACCTCTTTCCCCATTGCTCTAGAGAGAAGCACAAAGCATGCAGCTACTTCCAAATCGTATTGTGCTAGGCTAGGAAAAAAAAAAACTCTTAAGTTTCCTTTCACAAGTGATAATCTCATATTGGCAGGAACACTTTCTACTTCCAAATTTTTCTTCTGTATCACTGTATTAAGGTCAAAAAAATAGTGATATTAAGAAAAAGAAAAAGGTGAATGGATCTCAGTTCTGCTGTATGCTATTGACCGTGAGAGCTCCATTTCTTCATCCCTTACAGTAGGTATAGTAATACCTAGCTGGACAAAGTTACTGTGACAATTAAGACAAAGTTATTGTTAACAGTTCATGGCATCATGGATTCATGAGAATACTTAGTACAAAGTAGGAACCCCACTGAGGCTAGTTCCTATTTCCCCTGTTGATTCCCTCATTTGTATTTCTTCGCTGAATCATGAATGATTGTCAATATACTAGAAGTGTTCATTTTGTTAGGCCAGATGAACAAATCTTAATTCCTAAGACTATCAAATAACTTAAAAATCAGGGGAGGAAGGAGCCATACAAGTTACTAATAACTACTGTGTCCTGCTGCTCCCTTCCCTCCGACAGCTGACATTTCAGCCTGGGCTACCACAGACAACCAAATAGCTGTTTCAAATGTGTCTCAACGTCATATAAATGCATGCTGTTAATGATCAGGTGACTGAATGAGGCAAAGAACAAAATTCTTCCCTTCTGCCTGCGACGCTACTTACAGAGATGTTTTACTGGTAGCAAATCAGTATACAGACAACACTTCAGAGGCCATTTATTACACCTTCCCTACTTTACAAGTTGGTAACCATGGCCTAGAAAAAAAGAGGGGATTTACTCAAGTAAACATTAATAGGATATTTCTTTTCTTTCTTTTTTTTTTTTTTTTTGAAATGCAGT